CGCCCGGCTCCCCCCGCCCCGCGGCCGCCCCGGCCTGCGCCTCCACCGGGCCCCGCTGCTGTGCGGTGCGGTGCTGTGCTGTGCGGCCCGGCCCCCGCCCCGCCGGCGCTCCCTCACCCCGCAGCGGCCCCCGCTCRCCGCGGGCGTGGGGGCTGCCCTGGGCCGCGCTGGCCTAGGCGGGTGTCCCAGGCTGGGGTGCCGCCGGCTCGGGAGTGCTGCGAGCTCGGGTGCCAGCCGGGCCAGGGCAGCGTGTGGCCCTCCAGCCCCGCTGCCTAGCTGGGTGCTCGCTGTGCCCCAACCCACAGCACCCACGCTGCCCTGGGAGCACTCCCGGCGCCGGGGCAGCGTGGAGCAGCTCAGCTGTGCGGCACAGCGGGAGCCGCCCGTCTGCTCCCCACATTGCACATTGGGATTGTGCTCTCTTAAGCCGTGTTTGAGCARGCAGTGSTAAGMCGGGTGGTCACCACCAGGCAGGYAGGCAGGCAGCTGTGGTAGCCGGCGTTGCCCGGACAGTTTGTTGCAGGGGAGGCCCTGGCCCGTTAGAAACAATGTGGGCATCCCRCAGTGGTTTGGCACCGGGACTCTGGTGTTGTTGCACTAGTGAGRGTGGCACAGGTGGTTGTACACAGATAGCAGAAGCTCCAGACTGCAGGCTCCAGACTTTCCCGGGTGCGYCTCCAAGGGCATTCACTCTGTTCAAGGCAGCCTAAGAAGAGAAACTGAGAAGAATTCCCTGTTTGTTTTCAAGCCAGCAAAGGCAAATCCCTGTTGCAATACTCAGCCTGGCCCCTTTGCCTTGTATTTTAACAGAGATGAACTAGAGCTGTCTCCTCCAGTGGCCCTGCCAGGGGATGAAGGTTGGGGTCACCCTCAGCACACTCTGAGAGGCAGCTGCTGTTCCTCTGCTGTCCCTTTTGCTGACCCTAAGTGGCACCTCAGCTGATCTTGTTCTTGATGCAATTTGGCCTTTGGGTTCAAACATCTCTGCTGCTGTTCCTGATGTTTGAAATTCTCCCCCCACTTCTGGCCTTTCATATCTCATTCTCCTTGCATAGTACCTGGGAAGCCTCTAGTTGTGTCATAAGCATTAACATCTCCTTTGAGGTTTGTCATGATTCCGTAACTTTCTGTTTTTTCGGAAAAGGTTCTTTTTCCCCTTGCCTCTTCCATTCTCCCCTTTGCTTCCATTGAGATTTTATCTCTTSAGCTGAAAGAGTTCATAGATACAGAATTTGCAGTTTTGCAGATGCTTTGCCAAATACAGCCTCTGTACCGTGCTGCAAGACGTCACCATCATCCCCCTCATCTTGACTCACTCTGGCTGCGAGTCGTGCTGGGCAGTGTCTAAATGCGTCCTGCCTGTGTGCGAGGCCTCCACAGCGCTGATAGTGCCCACGTCTCTGAGCTGGCCTCCGCTGTTCTGTTCGTGAGATCCTCCGTTCTGCCAGGGCCAAAGGTTTCAGTTCTCTCTCCAGCTGCTCTGCTTAGAATTAGCAGTGACATTAAAAACTGATATRAACATGCAACAGTTTTGAAGAACTGTTGATAATGGGACAGGAGGAACTGAGCAGTAGGAGCAGAGGAAAGGAGTGTTTCACAGAGCTTTAGAGAGCACCACCTCTGCCAGCTGTCATGGGAACCATGGCTGTGTGACCTCTCAGGGTTCTGAGTGCAGTTGAGGTGTCCCTGCAGTGGGTGACTTCACAYGGACTTTGTGACAGTGGTGATGTGAACTTGGGTGGGACAGCCTGAGCTGTGCTTACCTTAGCACTTCACTGCCTTAACTGATAATTTCCCCTCAACCTCCAGCAAAAGCGTATTTCTAATTGCRTTGCTCAACCCCGCTTCTGAGTGACACAGCTTTTACTTTGTCTTATTTTTAGAACCTTTCTGTTAGGAAATAAAACTTATTGCTTCCTTCTCAGGAGCAYGTAGGGACTCTGAAAGGAAGAGGTCCAGGTAGCAGCAGAGCCCCTGCTGGGGATTGAAGTTCTTTGGAGATAACAGGACAGAACAAGAACAGTGGTGAGCAAAGAACAGAGTTTCCAAGTCAAACTCAAGAAATTTCCAGATTTCTGGACTCCCCACCCAGCAACCAAAGCATCATAATGGGCTTCTGTCCAAAAGTTATCTTGAAGAATATTGTTCAGGCTGGAAAGTCAAGTGCTACACTGTTAAAGAATGTCCTTGTAGCCCCCGTTCAACTTGTTTTGGATATGCATTTAAGGTATAATGACTAATTTTGTAATTGTATGCTAATTGCCATCAGTAACCCAGCCACAGGTACTGCACAGCAGTGGTAGTTATGCTCTTGGGGTTTTGTCTGTTCCRTATTCTAAGCTGCATTGTTTTAGCCTGTCTGCAAAAATGGCAAGAGGCGCAGCCATGCACCTTGGGGTGGGAGAAGACAGGGCTTGGTCACAGGGTCTGTAAGGTGCATGCTGCCACAGCACACAGAATTTGGGAAACTTGTGTCCTAAGTTGTTGTTCTGGCCTTTGCATGCTTGGGTCCCCAGTGCCAGAGATTAAATATCCATCACAGTCATCTTGCTCACATGTTGTGGCAAGGTATTCTGCTTTGCATTAAAAATTGATGCTGTGCTCCAGTTTCCAGATGACTTTTGTTTGCTTGCCGTCTGGTTCAGCATGAGCTCCTCTTGCTTCCTTCCCACACCGCTCTTAGCGCACACAAACACCACCAGCCTGCCCTCAGCCAYGTCCTGCAACAGAGCAGGTGAGAGCACTGACAGAGCCCAGCTGGAGAGTAGTAGTTTGAATGACTTGTTTAGTACATGGCAGAGCTCCTGTGCCACACAGGTGTGGTGGGAGGCCACCTTAAGTAGCCCTTTAACTTTATAATCTTGGTTCTTGAGGATTTGGTGACCCAACCTCAAATGTAATCATTTCAGTGATTTTTGATATATTGGGTCACAGACAAAGTAAAAGAAGCTATTTCTTTTTAAAGTGAGAAGAGTCCTCTTCCTCCTTTGAGCCATGTGATGTTAGGAGGTGGAGTGGAGAAGAGCTCTCAGGTTTCCTACTGTGTGACGCTCAGCAGGRGAGACTCTGGGATCTGCTGAGACAAACAGCATGTCCTAACAAGAAGCCGCAGCCATCAGCATTTCTGTGGTGAGAGAATGGTGGGCTGGTTTGCCAGCCATCAGCATTTCCCTGGTGGGCTCTTCTCCTCAGCACCATTAGTTGGGCTTTTGCYCTGTTTGCTATGTTGTCCATTCTGTTGGGATTCATAGGATCAGCTCTGCATTTGCTGGAGCTGCAGTCCCTGCATTGGCACCATCTCCAGCTGGGGCCCAGGCAGCCTGGCTCAACGGGGTATTGTTTATTCCWCCCAGGAATGTGCAGGCGAGCAGGGACCTCGGGGAGCTTTACAGAGCAACGGGTTCTGCTCTGAGCAGGGAGAGTTACTGTGGGTGGCCGCAGCTTTGAAGGCTGCCATGAACAGTCAGGGCATGCTGGTSTGTGTTCCTACCCTAGGAGTGTGAATGAGGACTGTGCAGGCTGTGCACGTGCATTGGAGTATGGAAGAGGGAAAGAAGACTGTCCAGGTTTGGAGAACACAGGGAGGAGCAGAAGAAAAAGGTAGAAATGTTTTAGCATGTAGTTAGTAAGCATCTGTTCTTGACACAATGGTTTGAGAAGCCAAGCATAACTCCTTGTTTCCTCCCACTGTGTGCTGGGTACTGATCCTGCAGCCTGGAGTGCAGCAAATGCTGCAGCAGATCTCTTGTCAAAGCCAGTCCCAGCAGCTGGAGGATGCACTGACCCGAGGGGTGTCTCTGTCACTGGGGCTGGATTGTGTTTTCAGTGAACAAACTTTGAGCAATAATGAGTGGAAGGAGGTATGAAAATACCTAGGTGRAATGCAAGGTGTTTTTCAGTTCTTAAAAAGATCACTGTCAGTATTTGTTTAATATTTTTTATATTATTTTCTCTAATTGTTTTGTGGCATGCTTGTCTTCTGTACATTTCTGGGAGTATGACCATTCTTCCTGGTCTACTGCTCATGCAGGTCCTTAGGTTTTATAGAGGCTGACACATCTACTGCACAAGAATCTACTTGTCCCTCTTGTGCAAATCCTGCGTGCCTGTGGAAGCCCACATGGCATGTTTTGGTCTGTTTGGTGAAATGTTAGATTTTCAGTTACAGTGCTATCATACTGTCCATAGTCAGTTCTAACAGTGATGCTTCTTGAGTGAAATGCTGGAATGTGTTTGGTGGAGAAACAAGTGGTGATAGCACCTGTTAAGTTTGGTTTCCTTGCTGATTAGTTTGTGGCACCCATCCGTTACCGGTTTTTATCTCATGGTCTGAGCAGTGCTATGGGAATAGGAATGGATTAGCTGTCCTCAAACCCTTTGGGTCTCTTTTTACCTGAGCTGTTAATGCTTTTTGTAATCAGTCTAAAAGGTCTCTTCACATTGCTGCCTTGTCTCTTAAGTGCTTAAAATCCTTGCTGCAGCATCTTTACTAGTCCTGCTTCTATCTAAGTGATGGTGCTTTAAGCAAGTGCCTGACAATTACATTTGATGCTGGTGAGTCTGTTATTTAAGATTTGTTTGAGATTTCTTACCCTGCCCATTTTCAGCTGCAGAAAGAGGAGGGATACAAGAAATTGTCAGTCTATGTGTAAATACCTTTTCTTGGCTGCTGTGACTTGACCCAATCTGTGCTGAAGATCTCGAAACAATATTGTAACAGAGTTAATTGCCATCATTTCATTCTGGTCTCTCCTTTCATCACCCACACTGGACCAGACACGCTCCAGAGCTAATAGCAAAATGGGATAAGCAGTCTTCCATGAAGGTAATGTTAGTGTGTGCTGAGCATGCATGCAGGCAGGCTGGGGGCAGTGATTAATGCCCTGGGAATCCACTCTCTGCCTTGCTGCACAATGCTGTTGTGTCAGGCCCAGAGGCTGGCACCAAGCAGGCTGTGGTTGGGCGCCAGGAACACGTTACCTGGTTTGTGCAGGATCAGGCAGTGAGACAGAGCCTGTGTGTTCTCAGCAGGGCGAGTTCGCTGCTGCGCCACAGTTTCATACTTGCACAGTGAGGCTCTCTTTGGATGCGGGTCTGCTGCTGGGCGGGGGCAGGAGTCAGCGATCCACAGTCCTGACCTTCGCCAGCCTGAAATCCCAGCGTTTGCTCAGCTGGGGAAGAGCTCTTCCTCCATCCTCTGGCAGGCATGATCACCTATCCTTGAGGTGAGAGGGGATGGTGCTYGGCCAGCTGTCAGGAGCTGTAATTCACAGGGGATCACAGGCGGAGCCCTGCTCTCCCTGCAATCTCCTTTCCCTTCTGGAGCCTCTGCATGAGCTTTGCTGAATGTTTGTTTTCACCAGATCTRGGGTGGATCTGGGAGAAGCTCGGGTCCACTATTAAGCCTGAAGAGTTGGACTCAGTAAGTTTCCAGTCTGGAATATGCTGGGAGGCTTCCTTCTGTAGGTGGGGGTTTGTAGAAAATGTTGGCAAGCAGCACTGCATAAAGTRAGACCAGGCCAAGGTCCTGGAAAACATAACATTTTGTGTTCARTTCATGTCATGGAGGAAGCAAACTCCACAAGACTGATTCACTGCTTGCAAATACAGGGGCATGCAGTCTAGACTCAGATGGAGTCAGGGARTGAACCTGCTCTTCTTGGTAGTGCTGAGGGAACATAAGCCTGTTGGAGTTCTTTTTTGGGGAGTTTCAGAAGTTACTTCATGCTTTCTTACRAGCTGCCTCTCAGAGAATGCTTTGATCATGAATAGGTTAGTGGTTTATTATAACTGTAATTAATATATACATTCTGGAACTATTGCAGTCCTCCCTGTCTTTCTCGATCTTGTGTCTCATTGGAAAATCTTGCACATTTTAATGATGAGTCCCCCGAGCTGCAGGTGCATTAAAAGAAGAAACACACCTGTTCTCTTGAGCAGGATTAGTGGAAAGGCTGTATCCTCAGCCCCAGTGACTGCAGCAAAGCCAGGGTTTGGAGCACGCATACTCTAATCCTTGCATAACTCAGCCCATTCTTACACGACACATTTGACAGAAGAAATACAAGAAATTTCATGTACCATCATGTGCTCCTGGAGAAACTACCCACAGGCAGCAATTATGCCTGTAATATGATTTCCCCTCTTTGTCCAGTGCTGCTGTGAAGTTTGAATATTCCGGGTATGGCAAGGATTCCCAGGAGCCTGAGCTCGGCTGGCAGCCTGTCTGGGGGATGGAGGGCAGCCCGGGTGCCTGCGAGGGGCTGTCGCTGCTGCGCTGCTCCTGTTCCCGTGAGAACGTGCAGCAGCACGGCCCACCCACCCCACCTCAAACAGCGCAAGGATCCTTACTTGTCTTCTGTATTTTCAAGCTAATTGATGGCTCTTCCATCTTTTTCCCTGCTCCACATGGTCATGTTTTTAATACTGTTACTCCTTCTGCCTCAGTAGGTTTCTGCTACCCTGAACTGCAGCTCTTTGTGCTCCTGATTCACTCCAGCCCATTCATCTCTTTTTGGTGGCAGAGTGCTGTCTGCTGYTGGATATTGGGCTCTTTGTTTGTACAGCCAGCACAAAGCTGGTGACAAAGGGACAGCCTGTGTCCCAAGGAGCCCACGTGCTATGGGAAAGGCAATGAGGAGCAATAGGAGCGACAGACAGACAGGATGGCAGAGGTGAGGGTGGCCAGGGGCAGAGCGTGCTGGCTGCAGCAGGGGAATGGCTGGGGGCGGGGAGAGACGTGATGAGGAAGCTTTTCCTGCTGAGTACAAACCCGCTTTGTTCCCAGGAGGTGAGTCGGACTGGATAAACAGAGTGGTCCCGTCAGCAGAAAGCCTTTCCCCGGYTGGATCCCCCACTGGCACTCTCGCTGGAAGTTGGCTCCACCTCGTTAGCAGGGACATATTTCTCCTCCCTATGTTAGCTTCCCCTGTGCCTGACTCTCCCGGGCTCAGGTGGGCTGTGTGTGGCTGTATGGAGAAAGAGTGCCTTTGGGGGGCCCGTGTGCTCGTGTTTTGTCTTTTGCTGTGTTGTCACTGTGCTCTTTCTGCCCTTAGCTGGGCAGGGGGTTTGACAAACCGTGCTGAGATGGGACGGGTGCCACCGACTGGGCGGCGCTTGGAGCAGCACCGCTCGCTGTGCGCTTAGAGCCGCTTTGGGAAGGGAGGAGAGCTTTGCAGGGMAGTTGTGTCCAAATGGACAGAGCAGGGATATGCTTGAGATGTGGGAAGAAAGCAGCCTGTGCCGAGGGGGCGGTGGGGATGGCGCTGATGTCCCAGCGTTGCAGAGCTCTGAAAGCACCGCGGAGAGGTGTTGGCCTGTAATTGCAGTGGGACAGGAAGTGAAAGCAAACACTGGTTTGAGGTGCARGTGAGGAATAATCTGAAAGCTTCTGGTTGCTTTGGGTGGATGCACCTTTCTGTTCYCATCCTGAGGGATCTGAGAGGAGGCAAAGGAGCAGCTTGAGCTCCAGGACTGCAGCTGTCTTGGTGCAATGKATTTCCTTGATTGTGAGACTGAAAAGCAGAAATTATTCAGAAGAGTGTCCTCAGCAGCCACTTCCAGAGGAAGGGAGACTCCAGGACATTGTCCTTGACACAGAGATGTTTGGCTGCATACAAGTCTTCTGCCAGGAGGAATTTCAGCCTTGGCTTCCAGGGCCTTGGACAGGGTCTGCACCCTCATCTCTGATGGTGCCTGACTTCACCAAGAAGTGGTGGAGCCTCATCACCTCAGCCTGACTTCTGCCAAGAACCATGGTGAGGTCTCCCAGGAAATGACTGAACCAGCTACCTAAAAGGCAGAAAGGATATTTCCAGTCAGGTCCCAGGATGTCCATGCTGGCTGTGGGGAGAATTCACTGGTGGGAACTTGGTACTTCTTCTCCTGCTGGGCCAGGATTGTGATGCTGGTTCAGCATGCAGTTCCTGTGGCCCCAAGTGGTGGCATGAGGAGGGGGATGCATGTGCCCATCCTGCCAGAGAATGTGTGGTGGGACGTGCAAGTGGGTAGTGCTGGCTGCCCACCCGGCCCTGGCAGGCTGAACCCTGTCTGTATGTCAGGAAAATGTTGAGCTTCCTCCCCTCCTCTTGCTTCCTTCCTGACGGGAATTCACTTCCAAATTTCTTGCTGCTTCTCCTGTCCTTGCAGCACAAACACATGTCCCCACAGAGACAGCCAGAGAGGCCGGACAAGGCAGGTTAGACCATGGGGGCTGCRTTGCTGCAGACCCTTGGCTCCTGCGACACGTGGCGAGGGGTGGTGGGGAGCTCAGGACAGGARCCCCACACTGTTCCTGCCTCTGTGCTCAGGAAGGGCTTTACTTCCTGACCCTATGTGTGATAATTTCAGGTGTTTCTGGYTGCTGACAAACTTCTCACTGTCCCAGCCTTAGGCACTGACCCTCCTTCAGACCTTGCACGATGGAGGCTGGCTCTGTGGTACGGGCAGTCTTTGATTTCTGTCCCAGCGTCTCTGAAGAGCTGCCCCTCTTCGTGGGAGATGTCATCGAGGTGCTGGCTGTGGTGGATGAGTTCTGGCTCCTTGGCAAGAAGGAAGGTGTCACAGGTAAGAGCTGGAAACGCCTCCACCTGGGTCTGTAGAAGTGCCAGCTAAATGTTCCCTGTCTGAACACATCTTCCCTTGGTGGGGAAGGACCTGATTTGATTTACTAAATCCCATGGGACTTTAATTGGAACTCAGAGTGCAGATTGCTGCTGGTCTCCTGCCAGCTTTCTGTCAACTATTCAGACAGCTTGTCTGTTGTTTTTTGAGAGAGATTAGTGGAGGGTCAGTTCTCAAGGAGATGGGAGCTTCACAATACTGGTTGTTCCATTCTCTGTGGMGAGACTGCCCATTTCCTGGCTAGTTTATGTGCTGACCTGCTGTAACAGTGGAAGGGGAGAGAGGAAACAGATGCACTGAGAGTGGAAATGCATCCACTCTGGAAACCAGTCCAAGTGACCTTGTCAGTGGTAGATAGAGCAACAGGGTTCATGTGTCCCCCCAAACACTCTGACTAAGCCCGACTTTCTCCTTTATGCTTCRAAGCATTTTCCTGCACAAACTGCTATCAATATCTAGGTGCCTGAAGTGGTGTGCAAGTCTCTTAAACTTTTAGATGGGGGTGAGAAACTTCTGAAGCAGCAGATGCTCTTAGTGAAATACTAAGAGTCTCATAATCTCTGTTCAGGCAGCTCTTTCTCATCTTAATCCTGATGCTAAGAAGATGTGTGAGCTCTTGRGGAGATGAAAGCCAGGCCACTTCAAAGCATAAGCCTGCCTTCAGCATGAGGGTGGGACTAGTTTGATGCCTGGCTGTAGTGATGGGGCTGCTATTGTAGCAGCAGCCTGGTCTCTCCTGACGGCCACAAGCTGTCTACTGTCTGTCTAAAACAAAGGTGGACAGGAGCACTTCCCTTCTGTGCTCCATGTAGCTGATAAGTGGCATTGTCTGAGCATGTRCCTGATCCTGTTGCTGTTCCTGARGTCACTGGGCAAAAATTATGTGTGCAGTTTTCAACAGTTTTGTCTCCCAGCATAGCTGGTGAGGTTCTTCTAAAGAAGACAAAGCTATTAAGGAATAACAAACAGATGTATGTTGTAGATCAAAGATAAAGAAACACACTGAAGTCAAACCAAATGTTCTTTAATGACCTTTAACTCACAACCCAATTGCATTCTTCTTTCCCTTGGAACAGCTGTTGTCRTTTTTCTGCCCAGTTAAAGTTGTAGGGACTGAAAAAGCACTCTGGAATAGAAGCTGTGGAGGTGTTGCAGCCTAATACTCATTACTCTGTGGAATAATTATTGTAACTTCATGTACTGTACTTCCTTTCTTACAGCATTGTTTTCTTTCCATGTACAGAGCAAAAAATTAAGATAAGGAAAAAGAGAGCTGGTTGAAACTGTGAGGAAGCAAAAGAGTATAGCAAATGCCAAACTGCCTAACAGTGCAAAGCTTGGGGTGTCTAGGATATGGTGTTTCCAGGTTTTATTAGAAAATGTTGTGTCATCCAGAGGCAATGCTGGATGAAGTACTACACCATGCTTCATCATATCCCCTTGCCTGAAATTRTATAGGAAAGACATTTTTAGTGGCCTTTGCAGTGGACTCTGCCATGTTCTATGCTTCCAGGACTGAAATTARTATCTGACTGGTATCATGTGGTGGCTAATAAAGTGTGCCATGGTGAAACAGATATGACAAGTGGGGAAGGTCCCTGGAGTCTCAGCAGTGCTGAAGCTGTGACTCACAGGTGTGTCCATCCCAAATGTGACAGCCTGAATTCTGTGTTGAGACTGCACAGGGGCCAAGCCCTGTAGAGGAAGGAGCACCAGGTGAATATGCCCACTCAGAAGACATTGATCTTGTGATCCAGCACTACTGGATCTCTTAGTCGTCACCATGGGTCTGGGTTGGGAGGGATGCCATAAGGGCAGAGAAAATCTAGTACAACTGTTCCTGGAAACTCCATGCTGATGGCACAGTCCCAATAATGCACACAGCCTGTGGTTGCCTGGAGTTAGCTGAGSGCTCAAAGCTTTTTGTTCTTGGTTAGCTCTTAACCACTTAAAACCCCAGGAATTTCTGASTCCCAAACTCGTTCTTCTTCCACCAGGCTATTGAGGCACCCAGGGTAACTGGGTATTTTCCTTTAGCAACAGATGAATAGATCCCAGAATCTGGAAGGAGGKTGGAYRTGGTGGTGGATCACAGGAAAGACTCATTGCTGACAGCTTGTTCTCCTTTTAGGGCAGTTTCCYAGCAGCTTTGTTGAACCTGTGGATATTCCCCCTTTGAAGCAGGGAGAAAAACTGCTTGTTTGTACCAGTGACTTCACWTCTCAAGAGCCAGGGAGCTTGTCATTGCAGAGAGGTAATCTCCATTCCCTTCCTTTGCTTTGCACCTTAAAAGCCTCATGTGTCCTTCCAGATGGATGAACCTAATGACAGCATCCTGCCTAGAGAGACAGAAGAAAGAGGTGAATTTCCTAATAGCTCATGACATGGCTCATGTCAAATCCACCATGGTTGTCTGGGCTTCTGCCACTTTCATACCAGTTTCTCATGATCTATCATTACTCATGAAACTCCAAAATTGGCATCACCTGATCACAGTAAATTTACAACTGCCTTTTAATTGACTCCCAGTCCCCATCTCTTAGACTTGCATTTGTGGGAGAATGAAAGCTTTGACCCACCTTCATAGCTTTGCAGTCAAACTTTGTATCTTAGATATACAAGAGGCTGCAGATACTTCATGCCTTACCCCCATCCTGTGCTTGAGTTCGTCCCAGCATGACTGTGCTCTGACAGAGTGCCAGACCTCACCCACAGCCAGGAGGGAACAAGGGGAGGCAGGAAGAAGAGGTGGGAAGCAATAATGAGCAGTTTTGAACTGGTGTGTCTCGTTCTCTGCAGGAGATTTGGTGATCCTGGGRGGGTCCCTGGCCTCCAGCTGGCTCCAGGGCCGAAGCAGCTGGGGYTCCAAGGGCTTTTTTCCCTCATCATGCGTGAGGGAGCTGTGCCTTTCAGTTCGGAGACGTCAGCTGTCCCAGAACACTCTCCTGGARGTGCCTGCCTACTCACTGGGCCAAGCCCGGGCCCTGATGGACCTGTCTGCTCAGCTGGAGGAGGAACTGGACTTCAGGGAAGGGGATGTGATCACCATCGTTGGTGTCCCAGAGCCCGGCTGGTTTGAGGGTGAGCTCAGAGGCTGCAGGGGCATCTTCCCAGAGGGTTTTGTGGAACTGCTTACTCCTCTGAGAGCACCAGGAGCCTCAACAGATCCAGAGCCCACTGGGACTTGTGACACCAATGGGACAGTAGAGATGACCCCCAAAGATGACAAGGAGCCAGGCACTACTTAYGGCGTTGCCCTCTATCAGTTCCAAGCCCTAGAGTCCAAGGAACTGGATTTTGATGTGGGTGACAGGATTCGGATTGTAGGCATTCTGGAAGATGGCTGGCTGGAAGGGGAGCTGAGAGGAAAACGTGGCATCTTTCCTCACAGATTTGTGAAGCTGGAAGCCTCTGAGGCTTGCAGGGAAAAGGTGGGTGCTGGGGATCTGCAAGGTGGAGGCAGTTGTGGATTGACCATTCGTCAAGATCCAGAAAGTACTTGCACTGAAGCTCCTGCTTTGCCAGGGAAAAATAGCAGGGAAAAGGAGGATGGCTTGGCTGCATATCCTGAGCCTGCTGCCWCTTTGTCTCACAAGGCAGGGAGGTCAGAGGGTCCTCTTGGCACTGATTTGAAACAGCACGAGGCCTTTCCCAGCACAGGACACCAGGAGCCACATCCCAAAGGCACGATGTGCTCCATCCCCTCTAACTACACAAAAACAGTCAATGGCATTCTCCCCTCTGCTCAGCTGCCTCCCCCACAGGGCAACAAGTCTGGCCAAGCAGGTGAGCTGGAGCCCGGGGGGACCATTTCAGCCTCCCTAGCAAACTCAGAAACTCACCCCCTCCCTAAGCACGATGGAGACAGCCCCACAGTGCCCTTGCAGGCTCCAGACTTCCCCCAAGATCCTTGCAGAAACCAAGCGATTTCATCTCCTAACAGCTGGGCAGCATCCCAGCCCCAGGAGAGCCAGAGCAGCACCCAGGGCCTAGACAATCAGATGGACAGTAAATTGGAGAAGTTCAAGCCCTGCTCCTCCAGCTTAGGATCTGCCCAGGTGGGCCTGGACACACGGGCTGGGAGCTGGGGGGAGCGCAGCCCACTTGCAGTGCAGGGGGATGGCTGCACAGACCTCGACTCCAAACTGACAGAGCAGCTGGCCCAGTTTGAGAAGAGTCTGTCGAGTACTGGTGCGGAGCAGGACAAGGTCTCCCGTCACTTCTCTATCTTGGACTACAGCTCTGAGAAGGACATTGTCCGTGGCTCTCCTGAGTCTGTGTCCCACTCCAGGCACACAGAGAGGAGGAGGGCCCTGAGGCCGCCCCCTCCTCGGCCCAGCAGCCTCATGACAAGCCCTGTGCACACGCAGGGTGGCCCAGTGCCCAAAGGCAGGTCTCTGTCCTTCTCAGTCAAACCCTCCCGCCCTGCGCCCCGGCCTCCATCCAGCAACCAGCGGAAAAATGTGGCCCCTGCACAGCTTCAGCCCAGCACCCCAGAGCAGCGGGCAGAGGAGGGACGTGAGGACTTGACACAGGCAGGATCAGCCTCCCCCAGCTCCATCCTGCTGACTAGAATTGGAGAGGTGGAGCGAGATCTGGAGGCGTACAGCAAGACCCGTGCYGAGCTAAGCCTGATGCTGGAGGAGCAGCAGGATGAACTGGTGAGAGCAGAGACCATGGAAAACCTTGATTTCTGTGACTCCAACATTGAGAGCCTCAGAGTGGAGCTGCAGGAGTTGAGAGGTAAGTCTACAGCAGTGTGGGATGGGGGATGCTTCAGGAGCACAGGTGCCTCTGCTGTTCTACGGACTCTGTTGAAGGCAGTTTTTTATAACCTTTAATTGYTGATTTGGGTCATTTTGTAAGCACYATTGCAGTACAAATCATTATGATTTTGTCTTGGATAATCACARTGTCTATTTCTGGATATCCCTTTGTCCTGATATTCCCTACCCCCTTTGYCTTCCAACTCTCCCATCTTCTCTTCCAACCCCACCATACATCCAGAACCTTCATCTCATCCACTCCCAGCATGTCSATGATGGAAAGCAAAACCTCAGCAGCTGCAGTTCCAACCTCCATGCCTCATCCCCTCTTATCAGTAGGGGAGTGAGCAGCAGTTTCTGAGTGGCTTTGCTGGTGGTGCTGCAGTTGAGATTTGAGTTGATGTCTATGGTGTGACTGCCGTCAACCTGTCAGGGCACTGGGTTTCCTGTGGTTTCTGCTCTGGTGGTGATACAGACCTCTGAGGGTTTGTCCCTCAGATGAGAATGGGTGCACAGAAGGGGACTGAACCTGACCTGGCAGTGGGATGGATTAGTGGGCAGAAAGTAAAATCAGCCCCTGTGCCCCTGCCATCTGTGGAGTCCAGGACAAGAAAACAGCACTGTGCTGTTGGTAACAGCAACAAAGAGCTTTCAATTGTGGCACATATGTAGCTGGAAATGTGACTTTTGTTCTTGCACCCCAGAAAAAAATTACTCAGGAARGAGGAATTTCCCACGATTATATTAGCACATTTGGTCTCTGAAAACTGAAGATGCGATGTAAAGATCAGTGCTGTTAATTAYGTTACACTTGGTATTACAGTAGACAAATGGAAAGATAGGACCACATACATCTTCTCCCACAGACCCTTCCCAGGCTTCTCCCAGGAGCTCTGACACTGCAGTTCTGTTACCAAAACCCACGATGTGCAGGAAATGTGGGCACTGCATGCGGGAGGTGGAGTGAAATGCCAGCTCCTGCCTGGGAATTACTCACTCTGACTTCATTGCCTCCATCCTCCCACTGCTTAATCAGCGCTGGGGAGCCCAGGCACTTTGGTGCACGATCATGTCTGATGCAGAGCACGTGGGAATGAAGGCTGATATGGGTGCACCAGGAAGATATGGTGACAAACAGCCTTCACGTCAGTGGTGTGTAAGAAGGATGCTTGGAAGGAGACCTAGAGGATTTGAAGCTACATGAAATAACTTGAAGGTAGGAAGAGGAAAATGTAGGCTGAATCTCAAGTGAAATTTTCTGATGGGATGGATCTTGCTGGGAAATGTTTCCTATTGTCCCAGTGTTCCCTGGCAGAGGACTGAGCCTGTGGAACCTGTGGCCTGTTGGATCCTGGAAGTGGAAGTTTGAGGCAAGAACTAATGCCTTCTTCTCCAGTTCAAGAGACCTCTCTAGTCCTGTGGCAAAGCAAAGATGTGTTCTACCCAAGCTCTGTCATGTCCCTCTGGACACCTCTTGAGTGTGCCCATGTCGTGCTAGCCCAGCTGTGGTGCAGCAGGCCAGAACAGTAAGGTGGTGTTGCAACAGCTCAGTAAAATGTGTTTATGCCATGTCTGAGGTGTGACCTCTGCCCTGCCACTGTTAGGGGAACATGGAAGCACACTGGTGGCAGAAAAGCTCTCACTAAGCCTTGACCAGCAATCAAAGCAGGGCTGGCATAGTATGGGAGGGGAATCCAGCCCCTCAGTGTATCTTTTGGGGAGCCAAAGGAAGAAAATACGTGATATTCTACAGTAAATGTTTTAAATTGTCAGTTTGCTTTTTTGGTGTCTTGTGAGCACACTGGGGTTTCGCTGATCATCAGACTGAGGCAGGATTAGCGCTTGCCCTCCTGCAGTTGGAGTAGGAGAGTCCATTAGTTTTATTTTTGTCGTCTACCAGCTGAGAGCATGGGCTGTGCATTGCCAACAAGTGTTGCAAGAACCTGAGACATGGGTGACATCCACAGACCCACACTCTCTGTCAAGGGCATGTTGTGGCTGTCTCTTGCTTTCTTACAGGARCTCTGTGTTTGGCATGGAAAATTGGGAATATATTGTGCCCTGCAGTGAGAGGCATTACTGGAGCGCTTCTGTAGTGTCTATGTTGCCTTCTGGAAACTGATTTTGTGTGTTGGCACCAGAGTCTGTAACCCAGGTAATCCCTTCAAGCCTGTTCCTGTCAGTGGACCAGCTGTTAACCCTGGAGCAGAGAGCCAGGCAGCTGTGGCTGCACAGCACTGTGTAGGCACTGYTCTTGCAGTGATTTACCCGTGACTSTGGGTGAGGGCTCCGAAGAGGATGGGCTCAGCACCAGGGCTGAGCCAGGGGCAGCCTGAAGGCCTCTGTTTGCCCCAGCAAGGTGAGCAGAGCCCAGCCTCTTCTAGAGCATTTTGTTCCCATCAGAGGTGGGAAGGCAGCAGAAGAAGATCTGATTTCCCACCGCTGGTTTGTGGCTTCCTGCGGTCTCACACACAGTCCGTTTCCCTTCCCTGAGGACATTGGTCTYGGGGCAGGGCCTCTGCATGCTCCAGTGCCCTCCTCTTCCCTGCCTCAGAGCTGTGTGYGGAGAGGCTTTGGCAAAGCCGTGGAGCCGGTTTGGGCGGTGAGAGCCTGCCCAGCCTGGCTCCCCTCCTCTCCTCGCTCGGGGCTGGTTACTGATTACTTTGGGCAGCAGGTGGAGGAGGCTGGGGCTGGCAGCGATTGGGCCCGTGCCTTTGCTGGCTGGTTTCAGGAAGCAGCACCTGCGTTTCACTTGGGACGGGAGTGCTGGAGCAGAGTGGAGAAGCGGCGTCAGCCCGGGGTTGAGCTCAGGGAGCAGAGAGTGAGGGGAGTTGGCCCCTGTGCCACACCCCACAGGACTATGTGCACCTATCCTTAGAGGAAACACTGCATGGAGGATCCAAGACGGCAACCTCGGCCCCTCAGCTGGGAATATGAGGACTGCTGTGCCSTACGGAGAGARGACGTGGCTGGCTGCAGTGACAGASCCAGGGTGACAAGGAGGCTGTACCCGGGCAGCCGAGGAGCAGACAGTGGCTGGGACAGTTCCCGGAGACAGGAGGCCRTCTTCGTGGATCAACAGAGCAGGAATGGAGGTTTTTGGAAGGGAGAGATGCAGTACATGGACTCCAGGAGAGCAGAAAATGCTTGGGAAGGCAAAAGACAGAATATAGAGGGCAGAAACTACAGGGTTCAKGAGAGGGAGGGTGTTCAATMCAGAAACTGGAATTCTGAGACAAGDGAAGGGTGGAACAGAGAGGACAGAGTACCTGGGCAGTATAGAGAGAGGGGAAGACAGTATGGAGAGGACAGAGGCCTTGGAGACTGTAGGAAGKGGGGAAGGTGGTGTCAGGACTACAGAGATCCTAGGGACTACAGTGAGGATGAAAGACATTACAGGAAAAAGGAAATGCAGCATAGGCAAGAGAGGGATTGTGGGGAGTATAGGGAGAGGAGAARGCAGTATAGAGAGGRTGGAGGCAATCAAGTATACAGGGAWGGGCAAAAGTATAGAAATGATGACAGCCCTAGGGCATACAGAGAGCAGGACAGGCCGTGTGTAGGTATCAGGGACCAAGCAGACCAAGAAGATGTTGAATGGCATAGACAGCTCAAAGACCATGTCGTGGACAGTCCAGACAGAGGTGGTGAAGTTCCTGCATTTGCAGCCGGGTTCTCRGGAGATGGTAGCGTGAATCTGGGGRCAGGTACCTGCCACACACAGTTCAAAACAGGCATCGTTGACTACGACGGCTGTGAGGAGCTGGAAGGAGAAGCCCCAGGGCCTGGGACAGCAGCCAAGGGCAGCAGTGGAGCAGAGCGCTCGAGGGTACGCACGGGCCGGCCCGACTGGAGCCAGGTCTGGGAGCAGGAGACCGAGGAGGCAAACAGGGGGGACTCTGTGCTGCAGCGAAACAGCTTCTACAGACGGACGGCTCCCAGTGCCCTGCGGCACTCAGAGTTTGTGCAGACCAGGAAGAAAAAGCAAGGTACGCAGGGGAATGGTGGGCAATTCCCTGGAGTGTGCCCCTTCACCCTGCCCTGGCACCAGGGCAGCACTGGGACTCTGGCACACGTGGGTGGCCAGCACAGATGGGCTCTCTCAGGAAGGCTCCTCCCTGGGACTTGCAGAAATGAGCATCATTTTGGTGAGACCCAGGTGGGAGGGAAGCACAGGTGGCACAGACTCAATGCTGTCCTTTCTGTTGCTCTTGAGTGTTTTAGATGCMCTCTAAAACATGTGGTCCTGGCTTGTCTGCTCTTTCAGGGCCCTGARGATGTTCCTTATGAGAGAAAGGGTGAGATGCTGGGGTTATTCCCATTGCCTATTYTATAACCCATCAGGAATAGATTCTSTGTGYAGGAACCAATTCCTGACCCAGAGCATGAGTATGGCAGCTGCTCACAGGCAGCACAAAGCAGGAAATAGAGAAAGCTGTTGTAGCACTTGGACATATATAGAAAGCAAGTACTCAGAGTTGCGTAATTCACCGGGCAGGACAGCGAGGCACCTGCATGTTGGGGGGGCTATTGCAGATGGGAATCTCTTGCATTACCAGCCCCTCAGTACTGCAGTGGTCCCTTGCCTGTGCTACAACAGTTGCATGCCCTGTGTCCTGAGTCCCCAAGTCATCCCCAGGTCTCCTATCCCATCAAATAGCACCCTGAAGCTGGAGAGATTCCAAAGTGGAAGGCTTAGGCTGTCTTGGCATGGGTGAAATCATTCCATTTATGCTGTGGTTGTGTCAGAGTCAGCTGCAGACAGTTTTGTGCAGCTTGGCTTCTTATTGCAACATTATTAGTGTGGGGAGGGAAAGTGGCAGCAAGGCGCTGGGGTCTGAGCAGAAGAGACAGAAGGAGCCCTTCTTGATGGACAGGCTCCATATGTCTGAAAACCTGTTTGTTCCTATGCCCTTTCTGCCAGCATCTGTCTCATGTGGCTGTGTGTGTGAACTTTCTGTGAATTGTTACTGAAAT